TATATATATAACAATTATTAAACACTTACAACAATAAATACATCTATATTTAAATTAATACAATTTTAATAGGCAAATATATATATAAATATATGTAAATATTTATATATATATATACGTACATATAACATACATCTTTGCTATGCGTGATAAGCATAAAACACCTAGTACAGCGATAAGTTCCCTTGCGTAAGTTCTCTATCGACTCTACCAGCCGGGCGGACGGTCGCGGCGAACTCTACATATTTCCAACCACGCGCACTTTCAAATAGGCGGCGGCCTTTACTGCGGACCGTGGTCGCATTACGTCAGGAGCGACAATACAGCAGTTTCCGATTACCAACGGAATTACATAAAGTACACCACCTCGTACAGTTGCACAAATGACGTTACAAGCGGTCCGTTATCGAAGAACGTTGCGACAAACCGAAACAATTTTCTAGATGAATCGATTCCCGGTCGATTGTCCGACGTTCGTTGCTCCGGTTGAGAAATCGGTCCACTTGTCGGACGTGAGGTTGCGGTTATTGAACGCCAGCGTCATAATTGCCCAAGTCAAGCAAAGATTTCAATACTTTGGACCCTAAACGTTGCTATCGATGGTGTTGGCCTTTTTTCAATCGTCTCAGGAGACGAGGCTTTCGTGGTACAGTAAGCTTTCTTTTTTTAAATATATGGCAGCTAATAAACATCCACGACCATAAACGCTTTGGTGTATACCACTGGAAATAAAACTGGCGACCACAGTTGACTTGGCAGCTGTACCACAGCCGCGTTCTCGAGGCTAATTAAAAAACGTGGATTCAAATTCGGAGCGTTGATCGAAGCGCTCTCCGTTGAACCGTAAATTAAGTTTTGCATGATGACATAGCTTTTAGCTTGATTGCAAGAGGCGGTCATGCCTCAGTTTCGCAAATCGGCTAAAAATCGAAATTGCATCTTTTTGCACTCGATTTCTTTTAAAGCGAAGGTTCTGCTGTTTGTTTTCTCTGGCCGGTACGAAATTAGTTAGCAGGTGTTCGATGCAATGCTTGTGCAACGTATTCTATTCGATGCTCTTATTACAATTTAACTGTGTCATTGACATTACATTTTCAGTGATCATTAATTTAAATTGTTCTTATATACAATATAGATTAGACGATTAAGTTCAGAAAAATTAATTTATCCTCCATCATTTAGCTGCACAACATTGGTAATGTGAGAATAAACCAGTTTCTCAGTTATTACAACATTATGGATGGAGTAGTAAATAAGATATTATTATTCAGTGCAGTTATTATTTAATATTGTTGGTTTCTTTTCTGTTTGCTGACAAATATGATGGTGGAAATGCATAATTTAGTAAGACGATCTATTGCTTACTACTCCTAGCATTGTTTATTATTAACTTTTATTAGATATACACATATGATGATAGCGCAGTTAATTACCTACGGCTACGGGGACGTAGGTTCGATTCTAACACGGAACAACTATTTTTGTGGGTAAAGGTACGATTCACATATTGTGTCGATAATCGTAGCTTACTTTTAAGTTATATGGCAATTATATCCCTATACATACTTTTATTTAATCATAGAACAAAGGCGTCTCTTCGACAGAGGGTACTCAGATGGCAGGTGTCGATATCACCCTGTTTTCCTTGAAAACGTGGTAATAGACGCAGAAGTATAGCACTTCTACTTGACGCCGGTCTTCTGCGAGGTCGTGGTACTTCCCCGGATGAACCTGCTCATTCGTACAACAGCGAAGACCGCGTGGGCCCGCTACAGTTGCTGCTGCTGAGTTTCATCATCATACACCACGGCGAACCAACAAATATCGTTGGTATAACTTTAATATGTTTTACACACTTTTTCCCACGCAAACCCGACTGTGGAATCACTGACAGTCGCCAATGGTGTCCCACTTTAGAATCAGCCGCCACTGGTATCCCCATGGCCGATAGTACCTAGGACCTTCAAGAAGAGCCTCTTTCAACCTTAAATGCTGGAAATTCATTTGTAACTCCTCCAGTATTCCAAGTATCCATGGGTGGGGGCGATCACTTACCTGACTGCTAGTTTTTCCCATTTTCCGTAAAAAAATGAGCAGAATGACATTAAAACATTCATCTAGTACTGCTGCTATAATATTATGTCTCAATTATGTTTAGACCAATTTTTTATACTTTAGCACTTATGTGTGTACTATAAAATTCACATATAAAAGTCAACGATAATCTTAAAAGGATTGGGTACAACTACACGCGTAAAAGGATACCCTTAAATCCTGCACTAACTGTTCATAACTAAAGGCAGTGGACATTTCAAAATGTTTGGTTACAAGTAAATTATCTTGTTTACCGAGAATTGCAGAGCGTATAATGTTACGTTTAATTCGGTCAGTCTCTAAATAATAACTGCCTTATTTGTATGATGCTCTATTTTAAATCGATTACAGATTTAATTAAGAATTAATTAAATTTAGTCTCATATACACAAAAAGTTATTGAAATGTGAATAATATAACTGTTCTACATACGTAAAATTCCATTGCAATGTGTGTAACTTATAGCTCTTACTAAAATTAATAGCTAAGTCAATATTATTAAGTAACATCAAAAGTATGAAAGGTGAGTAAATTAATATAAAATGAAAATACTGAGCAGGGTGATAAATAATTGCCATATCGGCAATTGTTGCCTGTACGAGTTAACGTACTCATTAAAGTTCAAAGGAAAAGGTTATATCGCTTGTAACCGGCATTACTAACTCACTTATTATTGCATTTAAGATTTTCGAAAGCTCAAAATGGGAAACTCGTTTGTTATGCCACACTATGAACTCTTGAATGCATTTATCTGATATTTGTCGTGACAAATATGACATGTATAGACATTTGCACTCTGACCTTATTTTTTAGAAACATTGTACTGCATATGGTTGATATATTTAATGTATGCTTAGTGGTATTTATCAAAAATGTTTGTGAAAATAGTTCATGAACTAAGTTAAATAAAGATTAATTTTGTCCCATTAAATGAACTATTTTATGACTGAAATTTGGTTAGTTATAAAATGGTCTTTGTGACTCTTATTTATAAGTTAACCACGCATACAACGGAACTAGTAATGGCTAATCACAATATTAATCTACGCTTATATCCAAAATATGGACGGCAAGACAAATTTAACCATAAATAATTTAATATTAATTCATACCGTAGCCGATCGGTGCTCAGTTCTCACCGAAGGAGCCCTAGGCAACTAGAATACCTTCGCCATATGACGCAAGTGCCCCGAATTACGACACACCACTCCCGATAATTGTATCGCTGAATATGAAACCCATACAAACATAATGCAGTGGCGTGATCTGTTTGTTTGTTTGTATGTTTATATCGAAATACTAATATCCGGAAACTTTAATACTTCATATAAAACGTATAAGCTGATGTATATCTCTTTGTCACGGGCTCTAATTTAGTACGACAAAAAAGTCATCATCTACGCTCAAGCCGAAATTTTTTATGTAACCATTGTTGATCCACTGTTGTGTACCCTTTTGAGTACGTACCTATGGGTACATAATGGGTCTTCATCGACATCAGCGATCTCGGCAATAACAGATCTTCTTATGTTTTCGTTGTTATAATCACTTTTGACAAAATTCTGGGCAAGGACCAAGCTATACGTGGCGAACGTATAGGATAATTAAACTAACACAAACAAGGACCGTTGCATATTCCATTCAACCGTTCGAGAGAATGTGCCCAAAGAATTATAATATTTGCAAAAGTACCTAAGCGAAACTTCTCCACTCTTTCCAGTTATTTCAGAAGTATTTATCTATCCAAGGAAACCTGTGTCACAACAGCCAGTGAATTTTAAAATTATACGTATTTGTTACAGAGTACATACGAAAACTTCGCCCTATATTAAAAGATTTCAATTAATTATATATTAACGATGTAGCTGTGTAGTAAATTCTGTTTTTATTTTAAATGCATATAAAGTGCATTATATGACTTATACGTATTTCTTATGATATGCCAAAATTTCAATACTTAATTGACATTAGCGCTAGCCAAACTATTTAGTGCCCCTGAATTTCACTAGTCTTCCGAAACTAAAATGGATTTATGTAATGACAATAATGTTAAAGTTGGCGTATTTTTCAAATATCTTATTATCCTCTCTGAGAGTTCTAGAGGAAACGAATCCATAGACAATTGGAAATTTATTTCTGCTAATCCCCTATCTCATTCTTCATCTCTTAACAAAAACGATTGCTTCAGGCATCAACTTACAAATGTGGTTTAATAAAAACACATTCTTACTTTTACTGTTCGATGTCTTGTTTCGTTTCTGTAAGCCACAAGTCATATCACATAGTCCATCGAAACTCTCACTTTTTCAAGCCGGCTATCTTTGACTTTAAAGACATCGGGGGCACGACCTTAGTGCTTTCCTTAAACTAATACTTTAAATGTACCTTATAAAGTTACATACACGAGGAACTAGGGCAGAGAAAGTTTATTGACGGTTGACAAAAGAACAACTCAATAGTAATCTGTTTTTATAGCAACTTAAATAAGTGCATGATATTTTTCATCGTGATTTATTGGGAGTCAACAATAAAATTAATAAATGAAGATCAAAGTTGTTTAAGAAAACGACACATACATCTAAAACTTATGTATGTGTGCTTTGAAATCATAGCACAAAACATGATACATTATCGCATAACAATAGTAATTTAAATTTAATTAAAATTATATAATTTTAAATGTCTAAGTATTTTGATACATCCATGAAAGTATGTAATCAAATAAGTATGTATTGGCGGTTTCGTCTCCCGCGTCGCTTCTGATCTTGGACCAAGCGTAGCCGACAAAGCGAGCGGTCACTGGCAATCGGCCCGCGACGAAAGACCGAGGAGATAAAAACGGCGCAGAGCCCGCCGGCTCGTTCAGTTGACCGCAGTTTTCGTCGCGATCCGTGATGTGAACAAACATGACCCCAGTTCTAGCCCTCCTTGCGCTACAATGTACATTGTGTTGGACAATTAAAGTTCCAGTCGAGTGGAATGATAAAAGTGAAGTGCAAAATGAACAGTTCGGAGACCAACAAAATGAAACAACCATACAGACTTTTACACCACCCCACAGTGTTGAACGGCCGACAATCCCTAAAGAATACTTTGAATACACAGCAAAGAAACCGCAGTTCGCGACTGACATCTCCGCATTTCACGGCGTGAAATCTCCGGAGCAGCACTACAAGTCTTACCCTGTAAGGCCGTATACAAGCGTGAAGAAACCCGAGCTGGGAAAACATAATATTTTCGATAACGAGAAGCCCGCATTTGAACCTTATAGGAAATTTGTTAAAAATAATGAACACTTAGGCTACGTGACACCAGCTTCTAGTAATTATAATATATTTCATCCGTATGGGGCCGAGGAACCAGCTCTGAAGGCAATGTATCAAGATCCCGTTCTAGACAAAATTAGGAATGATTTAAAGGATAGTCAATATCGTTTGCAAAAATACGAAAAAGATGCTGGCGAATCAAATATTGAAAAAGAAGAATACTTAGAAAGTCCAGAGCAAACCGATCGTAAGAAATTTCCTCACAGACAAAGACTAGCTCCGTTCGAGATACACCGACCTCAGCGACGTCCTGTGTATTATCTGCCTCCGGTTAGGTATGGTAATCGAGATTACATTTTAAATAATAAAATAAGACATCCGTGGAATCAAAACTATGTTAAAGTAACTCCATATCACTATCGTCCAATTAAAAATCATTTACACCAGCTAAGACAACAACACGCGTTAAAATATGATGACGAAAAAAATGAATATCCTCAAATCCAATCGCCTCTAGGATATGACGATAGGTCAGATGGTTACGATATTTACGAGAAAGGCAAAGAAAAGTTTACTCAGTTAAGAAATAACGTTGACGAATCTATTAGTAACGCTGCTAATAAAAATAGTCCGGGTACTCATAAAAAATTAGAGCTTCAGAATATAGACAAAACAGAGGAAAATACTTCAGATGACTATGAGTTTTTGCCTGTCAAGAACTATGCTCAGGTCAGAAAAATAGAGACTGTTAAACATCTCCCGCGTACCGCCGCATTTGAAGATGCAGAATCGTATGAAGATTTAAAAAATGCGCCTCGCTTGAAAGAAGCTATAAAAAGCACGAAAGCACAGACAGTTTATTCAGAAGAAGGCTACGAAGACTCGGCTTATGATCACGCTGGTGAACGAAAACATGCTTCAGATCATGAAGGTCACGGTGGATACTTAAAAGAAAAAGAATTAAGTCAAGGAAAATATAAAATACCAACATTTAGCGGAAGCTATGAAGATGAGAAAGGATCATCATATAGAGATAAAGCTTATCACGGTGAAAAATGGAATAATGATGATAAAGAAACCGAAAGCCAAAAAGATGAGGAAGAATACTCCGAGGATGATCAGGAATATTTTAATGAAAGCGATTTAAATGAAAATACTCCTAGGGGCGAATCGTCACATGAAAATGAAAAAGTAGACTATGAACCCAAAAACCAGATCGAAAGAACTGAAAACCAAAACTCGGATTCACAACATGATTTATTTAAAAGAGAAGTAAATATAAAAGTTCCTAACACAAATCTTAACACAACTTTTTTAAATAACGATGAAATAGTCAACATTTCTTTAACTAAATTACATCCTGTTGAGTTTATGAATTTGACAAAAAAATATCCTTACTACAATAAAAGTGAAATAAACAAAGAGTCACCATTACGGTATGCTGAAAATCTTAAAAACATTCCGAAAAAAACGAAAGGGGGAACTGAGTTTTATGATTCTCGTACTCGTTATGAATGTCCTGAAGTAGAAAATAATGTCGATCCAGTTCCAGAAAAATTGAAAAATGGTGAAAATCCTGGTGAAGTCGATGATGACAACGTAAATCAGAATGACAAACCTCGTTTAAAAGATCTTGGTGACAAAATCGATTGTTTTAAAATTAAACATTTTGGTGAAAATCCATTAGACAGTCCATTTTTTGAAGAAGATCTTATTTCTAACCCGGAACCAGTAACTGCGCCGCCATCTTCAGTATTTAAATTATTTGGAAATAAAGACGGTCACACTTTGCCATCTCAAATTAATAGCTTTATTCTAAAACCGGAAAGTTCAAACGAAACGTACAAATTAATTGAAATTGATGAAAATAGCTCGGAATTATTCCAGCCTGAAGGTATAGTTTCAAATTTATTAAGCACAAACTGGTCTCGCGATGTTCCAGTTAACAAAAAAATACCATTGCCAAATCAATTGAACTTCGATATGAGCATTCTAAAAAAACCAAACAAAGCAGAAAGCTTAACAAGAAGAAAACGTGCAGCGCCATTTATTTATGAGCCGTACAAAATCATAAGAGACAGTCAAATACAAGATTCTAAGAAAACAACTACTACAAGTAATATTAGTCCATTAATTAAGCAATTGCAATCTAGTCGTGTAGTTGACAGGGTCGCAACTAATATGAACAAAGATCACCCAGTTAAAAGAAATACAGGAAGTTTAGCCTACAAAAACATTGGTAAAAAAGACAGGGAAAAAGCTGAAAATGAATCACCACACTTAACATTCATAGATGTTAACGCAGACACTCGTCAAATGGAACCTAGATTTGAACCACGACTTGCTAATCATAAATCTCACTACACGCCGGTGGACAATAAGAATTCTATGTCCCTAGAAACTTACAAAAATCGCACTAATTCTAATAGCGTAAACGACACAGAAATAACAAATCTCTCAACACTATCCACAAACGGAAGACATAATGCCCAGTTTCACAGGAGACCCTTTTTTGATCTTTCTAAATATTTACCACTATCACCTGAAATACAAATACCTGAACCATCCATTAAGGTTCAAAATATTAAGAAAATAAAAGAACCAGTTGACCATAGTCCTTCAAATTTACCTGCGTCACCGATTAATGAAGAAAGTGATGAAGAATATGAAGACTACGATGAGGAAGAAGAAGATTTTCCAAAAACTACTACCACAACAACCACATTGAAGCCACAAATCAGAAAAAAAATAAGAATAATGACAACAACAAGCCGACCAGTAAATAAAGATAATTTAGATAAATTACGTTTGGTTACAAGATCCCGTAATCCATCAACCGTTGATCAAAGTCCGACAAAAAAAGATAAACCTAGGGATGTCTTAGATTCTAAAAATAAAAATACTGAGGAAGAAGAACTTGTAGCGAGTCCTAAGTACAGAGAAAAGAAAAAGAAAAGCTCAAAGAGCACCCTAGTTACTGACTCTTCAAGTTATGGAGAAGGTGAAGATGATACTATGAGAAATAAAGAAGTCGATGAATTAATTGGCATTCAACATGATATGGAAGATTATATTCCCCTGTATGAAAAAGAACGCCAAATGATAAATAACAATTCTATAAGCTTGAAAGACAAAACTGGTTACTTAGAAAAAAATAAAAATAAAAGTGAAGAAAATGAAGAAGAAGTAGATGATGTTAGTAGCGAATCTGAGGATGATGATAATGATAAAGATGAAAATAACGATGATGATGATGATGATGATGAAAATAATGATGACAGTGAAGAAGATGAAAACAACGATGAAGATGTTGAAGACAGTGAAGAAGAGGGTGATAATATAGACAACAAAGACACATTTACAACTCCAGTACCGCTTAAAGGAACACTTATGAAAACAACAGAAACACCAGAGATAACAACAAAAGTGCATGTGACAAAATCAGACGTGAAACCCATAATTTCAAGGAAAAAGATTGAAATACATAAAGAACTACCGTATCAGAAATCGTCACCGAACGTAACTCAATTTAAACAAGATATTAAAGAAATTGAAATAGTTAAAGAGATACCACCGGGAAAAATGATGCATAATGTTTCACCCCAAAACGATCCAGAAATCTTACAGTTATATAAAGATGAAAATTTAGCAAAAGAAGTTAACGGATATTTTGATGTAGAAGTGTTTAAAGATGACCTTGACCTTAAAAAGAGTCCAAGGCATGGCGGTAATTATAGAAGCATTAAAGCTGCAAAAACTAATGTACATAGAAACGAATCCCCTAATGTTGCTAAAAAAGACTCTATATCATCACCGAGTCAAACAAAAAAGCTTATTGAACCTACCTCTGAGAGAACAAGTAATCATAGAAGTATGAGAATAAGAAATCCATATCAGCGTTCAAAGAAAAGTCGAGGACAAAATATGAAGCCAGACAGCTATAGTCATAGAGTAGAGGGGGCAGAAGAGGATCAAAAAAGTGCAAAGATAATTGAACTAAGCGAGGACGATGACCACAGAGATGTAGAAAGTGAACCAGAAAACATGCATGGTGGTAATTTTAAAACATACAGTAATTCTAAAAGTAGCGGAAATCCTATGCACGGAGGTAATTATAGAAGTGCCAGAATCATTCTATCGGATAAACAAGATAACCAACATTCGCAAAACAAAATGAAGGAAAGAAATGAAGATACTTCAAAAAATGTCAGAAAAAACTCCGCAGCACTATTAGACAGCTTCGCCCGCGCAGTTCCAGTTTTAACTACTACACCAGCATATATTCTAGATCCTAGCAAAAGGATGTATTATTATGTTGATTCCTAAGAAGTTGTAAAAGATGAATATTTATACGATAAATCAAAAAAGTAATACAGATTACGGCTCCATTTTTAATATTATAACTGCCCGTATTTCGAAATTGTAGATAATTGGATGATTATTGAGCAATGTTCAATTATCATGTTTTTAGATTTATATTATTTTACGGATAAGATCACTATATTAAGAATCTGTGATAAATATAAAATTATTATTTTATATACGTACATAATATATTAGTGTAAACTATATTATAGAAAAAAATGTTTAATTGAATCGTAAATATAAATAAAAGATTTTTCTACACTACATATTTTGTTTTAGTATGATTCTATACCACTGCAAATTAAACGTTGAATTAATTACTTTGTAACTTTTTTCTTGGTTTAAATAAACAGGCTTTGTAAATGATTTTTCACCATTAAAGCACCATATTTAAAATTAACAAATTCGAATACTTTACTTTACAATTCAATTAATTATACTGTGGTAGGATCCCGCGTCAGTTTTCCTTTGCACGAATGGTCAAGTCCGTCCGGGGAAGTACCTCGTCTTAAGAAGACCGCCATGAAGTGGAAGTGTTATACTTCTGCGTTCCTTCTGATGAACGAGGTGACTGGGACCCTCTTTATTAAAAGGTGGCAACGCATTTGTAAGCTTAGGGGTATCGCAAATATCCATTGACACCGGTTATCGTTTAACCTTAGGTGAACCGCTAGATCACTTGCCATCATCTTACATAAATCTTTCCACATCAATCTCACATCAGCTTATTATTAAGGTTGACTTTCACTTGCAGTTCAAAATAAAATACTAAAGAACAAAGTTAGGTATTAGAATTCTTAAATTGTTATTGAAAGGGAATTAAACAAAAACAAGTATAAAGTTACTTTATTTTATTTATAATCTACACTCAATTAGTAAGTACATTCTACGAAATAAATAATTAAATAATTTAACTAACAATCTAAGTTCGATCATAAATTTGGTTTCGTTTATAAATAACAAACTAAGTTCTATGCATAAATTCTAGTTGACATAATAGTTAGGGGATCGTTCATACATAGACAATGTTTCATTAGCAATCTTCTCAATTTTCTACGTCACTTGTCGGGTGATTTATCGGCTTCCATTCCGTCTCTGTGGGTGGAAGGAATTCGGAAACACTGTCTTCCCTATCAATAGACTCATTTCCTTTATTTTCGTCGTCTCAAAGAAGTCAATGATTGGATGATAGTTGTAATTTACACGTTTACTATTCGAATCAATGTCTTCTTTGGAAATTTTTTTTTGTTCTTGAGCTGCTAATGTACTGAAGGGTTTTACAGTTGTAATCGCTGGCAATTTGGGTGTTATTGTGGCTCTTAAATTGATATTAGCGTTACCATTCATTCTTAGGTCAGTTTTTTGTATATCTGTAGATATCTCTTCCTTCGTGTCTAAACTATCACTTGAGTAAGCACCAATTGCAGACGTGCCAGATGACATCAAATCCTCTGTGGGACTAGATATTTTCTTTCTTATCGGCCTGCGATTTTGCCTCGAAATCCCTCTTTTGAATAAACTATCAGTGCTTTTGTATTTGTTGGAATTGTCTTTAGAGTATGTAAAAGTAGACGACCCAGATGGGGTTGGGGGTTCTAAGTAACTCGGCAGTGTAGCAATATCTAAACCTGTTGAGTCAAGTGGGACTCGAACCAATTGAGGTTTTCTAACATTTCTTATAGAACTGGCTTGATTTAGAGAGTCCGTAAAATAATAATTTCCATAAGAATCTTTGAGATTGTGCGTTGGCATATTATTAAACTCGTCATCATCATTTATGGCTTCAGAAAAGAGTGGACCTGGAATTGAGTTATGATTTTCCACAAATGATGGGAAGTTGCCCACTGCTTTATTAAATGAATAGTTTTTTATCTTAGTTACAGCCGGTTTCTGTACGGTGGATTGAACCGCCTCAAAGGCGTGATTGCCATGCTCTGAAGATAAATCCTCCCCTGGAAAATGTTCAGAAGAAGTTTCATGTGTCCTATGTCCTAATGGCGGAAAAGAAACGCTGTAGCCTTCAATGTGACAAGAACAACACGTAGGAACCTGAAAGTAAAAAGAGATGTTATCGAATTAAACAATAAGATATTTATGATAATTTCTTATGTTTGCGCGGAAACTAAGGAAATAATACTGCTATCTATTTATTTATATATCTACTAGCTGCTGCCCACGACTACGTCTGCGTAGAAAAGGCTGAAGGCGTAACATTCAACAGAAAGACAGATATACATAAAACATGTATATAAATTATAGCCTATGTCTTATTCTGATGTGTTATTTTCAAATTTCAATGTTTCATTAAAATTAATTCAGTAGTATTTGCGTAAAAGAGTAACAGACATCCATCCATAAATACAAACTTTCGCCTTTATAATATTAGTAAGGATTTATTCTTATATAATAAATTTCACAGTTCGTCCTGTGACAATAAAATCATTGAAGCAAAGACGATATAATCTGTAGAAATTATTTTCTTAAAGAATATGTACACATGGCATGTATCCCACACGTAGTAATTTAGAGAAACTTTTACCTTAAAAATATCCATATGTAACCCATTTTGCTGATCCCAAGTCAAGAGTCGATGATAATTATACACTTGTACACATTTAGATTTAAAGTTATCTGTCAAGTACGTGCATGATTCTTTAGGTTTCCTGAAAAATTAATGAAGTTGAGAGATTAGATTAAAACAATAAAATACTGTGTATGTATATAGATATATATAGAGTCGTGATAGCTCAATAATTATTGAGCTATCACGACAATTCAATATACTGGAGAAACCTGAGTTCGATCTCCGGTGCCGACACCAATAAAATTGTTTATATTAAGTGCTGATTTATCACGTACTCAGCGATGATGGAAAACATCGTAAAGAAACCTGCATATTTTCGAAATAATAACAAAAAAATATTTCGGAAATATGTTAAGTCCGCCAATCCGCAATGGGGTCACGTGGTACACTCTGCTCTAATACCCTCCATACAGAGGAGGACTTTGAGAGAAGGGGGGACATACATAGGCCGCTTACTTTACTGTGTTTAGATAATTTTACAGTTCTTTACAACCAAACTGTCACTTAAATCATCATCATCAATTCAGCCTGTTTGAGTCTACTGCTGATCATAAGCCTCCGCCATACTGTCGCTTAAATATAAAAATAAAATTGCTCACTTGCGCACTTGCGCACTTGTCATTTGAATATAAACATTAAATCCCACATGATGGTACGGGGGCCGTATTTAGTTAACGCACTAGATTATTAAAATCCTCTAATAGCAAAATCTATTTAACAGATTGTTGCTGTAACAGAAAAATCTATTTAACAATTATTTTTTTTAGTAGATATTTGTTTGCATATACTCTACTAGTACTTAGAAATCACTACTTAAAGCATAAAACCGTCAAAACATTAATTGTTCATTCCTTTAATCCAAAGTGATATATTTTCCCAGCCAAACCACTTTTTATGAACCAGTGTTTTTAGTCATTTAAATAGGTAGTTTAAGTCATTTAAATAATGTTTGTGACAAAATTAGGCATGTGTTAGGCGAAGGAATTATGCTAGAGGAAATTTATGCGGTTCTCTACCTACGGAAGCAGAGTACCAGAGGTCTGTAGCAAAGCCTCAAGATTACGAATATGTGATACAACTGTAAGCACTCACAAGCACTTCTCTAGTCGCAACGTCTGCGTGTGTTCACCAGTATTGACTATATACTTCCACTGGCCAGAGGTGGCTCGCGCCCTTTGAGGTCTCGCATACTTCACAGTGCTAGGGCACATGAAGCCGGCCTCGCCTGCACCCGCGAAGTCTCTGTTGGCCGTGTCACCCCGCCTGAGGAAGTTGTTATCTCGTTACATAACTTGCGGTCGATTGGACCTATCCGAGCATACTATAACGGTCGTTTCCGATTGTTGCGAAAACCAAATGAAAAAGAATTAACACTGTAGTACCATTTATTTTTATTTAATCTTAAATTGTAAGAAAAACTTTTAGATAAATAAAAAAATAAAATGGGCAGGTCCGTCCGGGGGAGTACCACGATCTCACATTACGTGAGGCGTGAAGTGGAAATGTGATGCTTCTGCATTTCCTCTGGTAAGTAAGGGAGCCGGGGCCCACTTTATTAGAGGGTGGCAACGCATCTGCAACGGGTGTTGCTAATGTCAAATCAGGTGAACCGTCAGCTCGCACATATAAAAATTTGGCTAAGTGGATTAATTAATGAATTTTGTCGACAATTATCTGTTCCCGTATGTAAACTTAAGTCAAGGAATAATAATGTAAACTTGATAATCAATAATACTTAAATTGTCATATTATTATCAACCTGATAGTTGATAATGATATGGTAATTGAAGCTATTTTTCGATTATAGCGGTAACAGAAACACATCATCTGTGAAAATTTTAACTTTCTAACTATCACGGTTCATGAGATACATTCGGTGACAGACGGACAGACATACAGACAGGCAGACTCCACTGTCTTAGAAGTACGGAACCCTAAAAAGAAAGATGGTCACCTACCTGTTGGAAACTAAATAATGTTCGGCAGTATACTTCGCCTCTTGTGCTGGAGAAATACCATCAACGGCACCCTCGCCAGGATCTTTGAAGTCAGCAAGAAGTGCTCCAGCGGACTTAGTACGCCTTATCGATTGGACTATGGCCTCGCTGTAAATGATTTTTATTCAGTCATTTATAGTTTTTACAACTATTTTTGTTCTTGGATTATAATTGCCAAAAGTTTCTTATTTCGTCTCCATTTTTACATCTAAACACATTGGTCACGAAACTAATAAATAAACTTGAGTTCTATCCACAGAAATTACAAAATAATTTCATGATACAGTTAAGTAGTATAAAATATGACAAATGCTGCCAACTAAATTTAACGAGCCACGGATTCATAAAAAGTCATATCAACTTAATCTACTCTTTACGCTCTTAAGAATTAACATGAAACCTTGTTTGGTGTCACAATGTTTTTAGCTATGTCGATATATGTATTGTCATCAATTACGCTTGTTCAGTATGTATTTGTAAGAATAATGAATGTACAATAATACAATCAAGTGTAGTAGGTACCTTAATTATCTACAAGTTATTAAATAGTGGCTAAATAAATTAAGAGCGGATCAGTCACCTCTTCCGCATCACTCCGAGCACTCTCGCTTTCATTAGTTTTCGATCTCGTTATGACGTCATTTTGGCTCTCGATGCGATATTTGATTTAAGCCTTAAGGCCTTCACTTTTTGTGGGATTTAATTAACCAAATACGCTTTGCTTGCTTTAGTTTCTTTTTTTCAACCGCGAAGGCCTTACTAATCGTCGTTATTACAAGCATTCTTTGGTGATCAAGAGATATATTTTAAATGAGTTATGGAATTTCGGAGTGTTCTTTTATTATTATGATGAGGAGCAAGTTCAATCTAATTTTTTAAAATTTTCTATCTAGATGGACGCAAATGCGAAGTAGCTTCGACTAGGCCTTGCCTCTGTTGACTGGCTTGTTTAAGGGACTGTGGCAGCTATAAAGTCGCTACAGGGTACTTACGTAGGGTAGTCCTCTGCACGCAGGCAGACTGTATTTGTGAATAGTTCACACTTGTTTTGGTCGCTTATAAGCGTTGGTGGTTTCCTCTGCGGGAACGGGCGTCGGCGACCGTTCGGGGAGAGTAACGAAGGTTCCACTGTAGTGCGTCGGGTCACTTGAGGTGATTTCGGCACATAAGTTCCGCGCCTTATCAGATTTCCTGTAATGTCGGTCAAGGTTATATAAGTTTTGTTTTTCAATGTTTTTGTAATAATAGATGATAACAAGGAATAAGGTCCACAATACCCGTCTTGTGGATTTACTCTACCAACCTTCAAGAGCTCCGGTTACCTCACTCACGGGCCGTATTACCAAAGTATTGAATTAATTTTCATAAGTAGCAACTTAGATGCTAATTCTTATGTCAAAAACTTTCTGTGGTCTCATGTTCTTCCCATTTCACAGTTTATTTGCACAGGTTTTTCACAGAGAGGGTTCTTCATAGACTGGCTCTTGCAGGATAACATTCACGATCTACCGTGGCCTGCTCAATCGCCGGACATAAACCAAAGGAAAGGAAATAAAAGGAGACTCCAAAGGAAATTTTTAAGACCTGGTCTGTTTTTTGTTGAAATAGTTGGTGTTGCTTAGATTGATGCTGTCTGTATATACAATTTAAAAGAATAAAATAACGACTTACAAGAAACCTCCTCCATGTGACCCTTACTCGCACTTCATACGTTTTGTTTTAAACTTTCATTCTGGAGAAACTGGTGATACTTTAAGAAAAACTACGATTTAACTCTTACTTACCTTTTCTGTCAACGTATCTGTTGAGCGACCTCAGCTTCTCTGCGACTGGCAGTTCTTGGATACTTTGATTGGTGGCATCAGCCGTCAGGTCCAGAGTTCCGTTGTCAGATATCGCCATCGACCTTGCTCGCGCTGATGATTTCAGAGGCGACTCCGTCTTGACGACAGATGCTGCTACGTTCTGGAATGTTCGGAGGTTTTTCTTTAAAAAAGACAGCAATAGGTAATATGAATGTTCTTTTTCTATTTATTAAAGTATATTGTACAAAGTATTAAGTCAGTTTTTATTTCTTTTTATAAGGATTGCTTAACTTGATGTTTGAATGCGTCCTAATAAATGGTAATTCCGAGCCAAACTTTTTTTATTTTTTGATATCATAAATTGTTCGTTCGGGTCTCAGTGTACTTTGTTTCTATGATTAACTGTTTGAAAATCCTCTTGTGAAATATGAATTTTATACTAATAGCGTTTTTATGTTTTAAATTAGCAATCAAACTCTTTGGTCCAATACTTTTGTGACTTATATTATATGCCTTTTCGCTCCCAAATATGGTAAATTCTATAAGTTTAAAAACTTTTTGTCTTGTCTTAAATCAATGCAAATTTTGATAAATTTTTATTTAGATACCATGACCAGCCATGGGTATTATTGTCGATGCAGGCATCACATTACTTCATACCATACTTAGGTAAAACCAAAAAATACATTGTCAATCTACTTTCTAATAAAGTCTAAGATGAACAGCCTCCAATTAAATTGATTATAGACTAATGAATGGCGCAATCGCTTTATCAGCAACAGTCATCACTCTAATTGATTCAGTGAAAACAGTGGCTATATTTAGACTATTGAACAACATTCATTAGTAGAATGCTCGAGATATTATGTCAAATTAAATTTAAAATTCAAACTATAATTGTTATACTCTTAGCGCTTTAAGCGGGTTTCGTCGTCAATATCAGATCGGTAATTCATCACAGCCTTATAAACTCTAGGGATGACAATAAATCCTTAAACTAAATTTTTCAGCCCCGGTACCAAAGACAAATACTATAAGGAACTATGTTTTCAAAAGAAACATTTTAATTTTTAAATTGGTACTCCCTTGAAATTTTATCCTGAGAACTACCCGCCTACTCCATTGAAAGTATTTTGTTTTTATAACATAAATATAATTTATTTCTGTAATTATTTCTATCCCAGTTTCAAATCTGTTAATAATAGAACTACTAATATTTTCCCTATAACGAAGTACAAGCGCACGAACTGTGGCCAACCAAAACGATTACGTCGGCAATAATTATTATCGACAGTTATTGAATCTTGGTAAGAGTTATTATAACGATAAGAGTTATTATTACGATAAATAATTGCAATTTGGCAATCGCGTCTATTTCGAAAGACTCAGTAGACGCTAGATTGATACAGTCAGTAGTAATGGAAGATGCCCTCGGTCTTTGTAAATGAGCGCCTTCTCACATCTCCGTTAAGATACGCGGAGCGTACCAAATGAGGTGGAAAGTGAAACGCAGTAAAAGTTTTGTGTGTTCTTGAGCCGACTCTGATCTCTTTAACGAAGAACGCCAAGGATTATTTGCGTGCGTAAACATTTTAGAAATTGGAGAAACGCTAATTTCATTTCCATTGATTTATCGGGTTTCCGTTTTTATTCTTTTAACACTACATTAGTCGTAGACGACGATTTTTGTAACAGAATTAATTGTTTAACACCAAATTTACGAACAAACCAGACAAAGTTTTTATTAATCTTTCGAATATCTATATTAATACTAAAACTACGCGCTACCATAATTTCTGATCAGATAAAGCGTTATGGAAGTCTAAATCATTAATTTATTTTTCACATCTTTCGATATAAATTTACATAAATTAACTTACATCTGTGAGACTACAACACTTGATTGGAACAACAAGACCATTTTATTATTAAGGAAAAACAAAACCGACGTCAAATATCTCGCTGTGTATTCATTGTAAAATTGATTTTCAAGAGTTCGGGGCTCAAGATCCAATACCAATGAAAATAATGTGAGACCATTTTATTATTAAGGAAAAACAAAACCGACGTCAAATATCTCGCTGTGTATTCATTGTAAAATTGATTTTCAAGAGTTCGGGCTCAAGATCCAATACCAATGAAAATAATGTGAGACTATGTGGTAAGCATCAGTGTTCAAATAAAAAAAAATCATCAAAATTGGTTCACTTCGTCGAAAGTTCTGAGATGACCAACATAAAAAAACAGTCGAATTGCGAAACTCCTCCTTTTTTGAAGACGGTTGAAAATACTGCTCCAGGTGGTTGAATTATTCTAACTAGTTTTTGAAAGCCGTGCTCATTCTAAATGATGTATCGGCAGTTAAAAAGTAACGCAAGTGCCTGAGAATTATGATTAATGTTCTGATGACAGTGGAAGTAAACCATATGTCGTTTTCAAATTTCTTTTTCAATTTACGGCTGTTTTGTTCACAGCACAAATGTGTACTTACAATTTGATTATCGCTATTTTGTGTCGAAGTATGGTTTACATTGTCTATACTTTTAGTGTCATTCAAATTTTCTGCTTTAGTTTTGTTCTCTTGATCTGTTTTTGTAGTAGTAGATGTTGTAAGTGATTTAGTAGGATTGCTTGTGAGAGTTATGTTTCTTTGAGCCCTTGATCTGGTGTTACGGTTCTTGATAGTTTGTGGTTTAGTGGTTGTTGTTATTACAAGGTTGAAGTCCTCAGTGGCCGCATCGAATTCATCGCTATGTGAAGTGTCTTCTATGAGTGATCGTCTCATGAACTGAGTCTGTGGGAGCGTCAAGGGAAGTTTCACTTCCCTATGCCCCTTTCCAGATCTGCCCGCGTGTCTGATCAGATTCGCCATGTCCAGTAATATCGGTAGCATCAGCTCCGCTGTTGAATTGTTCTCGTTGCCGAACATTGATCTCACCTGAAATGAAGCGGTGTATATTGTTAATTTTATGCGAATTGAATTCATCTTGAGTTAAGTCTATGTCTATAGTGGAGCTGTCAATTGGGAATCATTAAATATTAAATATCAATTTAATCAAATTAAAATCAAGGAGGGTTATACATAAAACGTTCAAGACCAAAGATTCTTATTTATAAAAAAACAATACTTTTAATAAAATGACAAAACAAGATGTTATAATCAGTTTAGACTTTAAAAACAACTGAATTTAAGTCTTCTGTTATTTTCGTGAGATAAAATTTTAGATCGAACAAAACCAGATTGTTTTCATAACATTGATTATCTAACACTGCTACAACTAATATAAACGAAAAAGATAAAATACAATAGTTTCACGTAAAAAAAAAATCCAGAAAACAATGAAAGTGTGGCCATTTCACGGCCATGGGAATAAGCAGTTATAGAATAATTTGGACTGTTGTTGTGTCTATTGTTCTGCTTTCCTAAGGTCATAGGATCGTGAGATTATGGTCTTAAGTTGAGCGTGAATTATAACCCCGTTCCCACTTACGAAGCGACGCAGGTAAAGTCGGGGAAAGTCACAGTAGGTAAAAAACGTAAAAAGTAATAAAAAGTAGATAAAAATGTCTGAAAAATACATTTTTTTTTTCAATATTTTATAAGTATGCCCTAATTTATATTTTATGGTAAAATTATATTGTATCTAAATTAACTCATTAATAAATATATCATTTATTTCTATTTTACTTAACTATATAATTATGTTTAACTAATCGATAGTTGAAACAACTAAATAATAGTTAATATTGGTTAAAGTGCTATATTGCTATAATATGCAAATGTTATTCGGTCAACCTGCAAATATGTAAGCTAATATTATGCATATTATTATCGCTTAGGATATAGATAAATAAATATCAATAATAGACTGTTATAATTATAAGTTATGTTTAACTTAAGATGACATTTAAATTGTTTATAGTGCTAATCTTTGCACTTAAGATTTAATATTAAAATATGTAGAAAAAGTACGAGAAGATTGTCGCCGCTGTGGGAATCGAACCCACGTCTTTGGCAGAAGACGAAGAGAGAAGACGTGGGTTCGATTCCCACAGCGGCGACCATCTTCTCGTACTTTTTCTACATATTTTAATATCAAGATGACATGTTATTACGTAATACTTTTATAAATAACCCCAAATATCAATCGCAACGGTTGATCACGTAACAAGGTGTTTAAAGAATAACAATATACCTTAAAATTGCTTGCGTGCAACAGTTCAATTAACAGGTTCCCGCTCAAAGCACTGTAGCATGCACACGCAATACTTCGTCACATTAACAATCAACACCGATGATTCTTAACGCGTCAATGATTGCTCTACGCGATATACTTTAGATTTTTACTTTGGCCGTACAGCCAGAGGCTAACCAAAATTTTGTAATGGTTATTTCGACATACGCCAAGGTAGGAATCGCATCATCGAAACGTATTTCGACGTTCCCAACTGAATCCAATCACATAGTATAAAACAAAATCCTCCCGTTCTCTGTCTGTCCCTATGTATGCTTAGATCTTTAAAACTACGCAACAGATCTTGATGTGCTTTATTTACTAGATAGAGTGGTTCAAGAGGAAGGTTTATATGTATAATGCATTGCACCCGTGCAAAGCCGGGCCGGGTCGCTAGTATTCGTATAATTGTCTCCTTACAGCGATCTCAAATGTATGATGGTGAAATTGGGACTTTAAAAACATGAGCTGTGATAGGACCACGATAGGAACAGTTCGGCCGTTGCACGAATGGGCTGATCCATCCGGGTAAGTAACACGTCCTTACAGAAGACCGGCGTGAAGTGGAAGAGTCATACTTCTGCGTTTCCTCTGGTGAGTGAGGTGGCCTGGACCCACTTTATTAAAAGGCGGCATCACTGCAACCCTACGGGTGTCGCAGGCGTCCATGGGCGGTTATCACTTAACATTAGTAACAGCTACAACAGCTAGCCACCTTCTCACATGAAAAAAAAATACAATGCGTATATTTTTGAGAATTTAACTAAATTTGACGCGTATAGAGACTTTTCGATTAATTACTTCCCGTACTTCGCAGATGAATAGTAATTAGTAAGAGCCATAGCTGGCAGCCACTCAAGTATGGCGGAAACCCGCAACCATTGACCACATCTCAATACAAGTACGTAGTGTAGTGAAACGCGGTAATGTAATCACACCGATATTGTAAATGTGAAGTATTGTGTGCAAATCTGTGTCTTCCTTCCTCAGGCAACAGTTGGATGGACTTGAATGAAATACGAAACGTAGATAGCTCAAACAATGTATGAGAAGCCTTCTATAAAATGTATGATCCTATAAAATCATATTTTTTTAAATTAAATTCTGCAAAATAAACATGCCATTCATGTGAATTGAGCTTCATGTCATTGTTTTCATGGCTCCCGATTTAGGAAATAATCTCGGTGCCCTCTATGTTTCCTAATTGTAACAAACCTAACATCATTCAAGTTTGTCTACCGGTGTGTTATCATTTATCAATTCAAATCTTACATGCTTGTTAGACGAACCGATTAATTTCCATCCATAATTGACGAAGTAAACCGCGCCACGGTGGACGCAACGCGGTCTGATTGCCGCCACGCTCGCCGTACAGACGCGTGAACAAGTACAGTCGGCGGCAAAAAGCGGCCCCGTTCCGTATCCGACTCTCGAATGAAACCGCTCCATTGAAAGTCGATAATTCGATTTGTTGGAACAAGATTTTCGCTCCAACAATGGTTGTACAGACACATTCAATGCCTTTGTTCGGGGCAATCATGGCGGTTTCTTGATCAGCAATTACACGCGCTTAGAACTAGATGATCTATGAGTTATAATGGTGGCTAGATTGTTACAGTTAAGCGACCGAGGATCAACCGTAAGGGACTTTACTATGATCCATAGATTTCTGCACCCGATTGATTTTCCCAAGCACTTTTACGTGAATCGCCTGATTTACTTAAAAAAAAAGCATTTACGAAAATCGAAATGTTAGAGAATGTATAATAATAGATATTTTCTAAATAACCGTTTATCATGTTGATTTTAACTACATTGTTAGAGTAACATTTCAAGTGCCGGCCATATCATTAATAACAATCTTGTACTTTTAGCCTGAACAGCGATAAACCAACGAAGTATGCTTATGTTAGCGAAGTTTCGTTTAGTTTTAGTAATAGAGCTTTCCTATCGCCGTACATGGGGGTCATTCAAGACGCCACGTGTTTTTAAATATAAGATACGTTAAAGCGATTGCATAAAGCAATTTTTTAATTTATTTGTGCACTGTTGCAAGCTGCCTTTTCTGCATTATATGAAGTACAGATTTATACAGTAAATTGTGTTAAAATATTCACGTAAGATTAAACAAGAAAATATTCACATAAGATTAAACAAAAAAAACGTTTGAGCGCGAAAAACAGTGAAAAACGGTGCGATTCAAGCGTCGCTTTCATAACGAAATCAAGTCTGGCCTACATAATAACAACGCGGTTTTCAATTCGCAGGCGTAATTGCTAAACGATTATCCGTCTAGCAGGAAAGTATAAAGTTCTGTGGGAAATTTTTCACCCGCTCGGTGCTCTAATTGTGTCGCGAAATTGTTACGTTATACTTTTTTGCCCGCCGAGTGTGCATTGTTGTATTTTTTTTGCTATCCATAGACACGAAACGCCTCGCGGTTCCCCATTCATTTCGTAGTTTATGTTCACGCTGTCAGAAAAATAGAATGGAGTGTGTTTAACTTTATTTTTGATAGCTCGGTTGCGATTTTATTAAAGTTTTTGTGTTCGATTTCCACATATATCGTAGTCACATTCTTATTACAACACTCGCTCTCTTGTAAATCTCATTACCCGTAATAACCGGTTTAACTCACTACCATACCATTAAAATAACCGAAGAACTTCATAATCGCAGCACCTTATAATGTAATCGATGCCATGTCAAGTCATTAAATCGCCTATTAAATGTATGCAGGCAAGTTTTAATCCTAGTCATTCCTTAAAATTATAGCTTCAATAAGGTGTTTAAACTTTTTTCTCAAAGGCGTTGTTTTTGTCGAAACGCCATAACTGCGATGTAATATTGTAAATGAAATAACACTTTAAAACTTACGTTTTCGCTATTGATGAAAATAAACAAAAGGTTAATGATGCCATAAAAGAAATATTTTAAAGAATCCATAGTAATCTATTGACGATTTGTATAAATTCAAGACAGAAAAATAATTCAAGATAACAAACTTCCCATTGATAAATACTTATTTGAACACTATTATTATGTTACCATTCGGTTACCGGGCGAAATTTTCTCACGGGTCAATTAAAACTGTAATGATTTCGAGGACAATTATAAAACTTTGGAATAGTCTTGTTATATGTAATGACAAATGTTCAAACTAATTATATAGGAAGTGGATAAAAGTTGCACCGAAGAAATTCAATACATTTATACGGATGTTTATCGATACTTAAACGCGTACGAACTTTCCCCGACCATATCAAGCAATAATCTTTACAGCAACATCAAAACTGAATCTCTTTATAGGCCCTCTTTTCCATCAATTAAATTTTACGTCATTCCCATTAATTGCAATATAAAAGCGGGATACAACCCAATTAATCCTAGATTGTAGGCACGATTTTTAAAAACAGTGTTAAGTTATGGTAAATAACATAAACGGTCAAATGCTTACTGAAACTAAACAGTCTACCTTTTGAACCAGTTCCGTTTTTATATTGAATTTCTTTTTGATTTGTCGATATTCGATGGCAAAACATTTGGGAATTTACGAGGCATGGTAAGCCGGCATCCGCTTTCTTAATTCTTCGTCACGTGTCTTTTCCGTTTTGAAAGCTGCCTTACGTAACAGTACGGTGTCCGATTATTAAGATGAAATTAATTTAATTATCGATAAAACATATAATGATCTATAAAAATGTCAAATAAGTACTCACAATGCTTACATAGTCTTTATATTATTAGCTAGTTTGAAACATTAAAAGCGTTGTGTAAAAAAATATTATGTGATTGTGCCTATCCAAAATATCTCTATACAGTATATTTATTTTAATGTTCAAACCAGTTTTAAGGTTTACCGATAGATACACGCGGTCAACTTAGTTGCTTATCCGTTTAACTTAAGGTTTGGATTAACAATTTTGATTATCATTATAAAATAACTATCACAAGAAAACTGTATAAATATCAATATATCAATTATTATCATTTTAAAAGGGGCTTACGTTTACGGTGACCTTTAATGCTTACAAACGGCTTATTCGTTTTTTAAACAAAATTATTTTTATGGCTTCATTTAAAACACAAGCTGAAGTACATGAATAGTTACAATTAAGATAAACTACTTCATGTTAACTTCACACCTTTTAAGTTTACAATTAAATCAAAGATGTCTTAGTCATTTGTGGAAAACATGGGTAAGACGTTTCATAACATGGTTATTAATTGTTAATTGATAAGAAATTAGTTCGGTTTTCAATTATTGACGTTTCAAATACTTTTCAAAATCTGTGGATAAACTCATAATTAATTATTTTTGATGAAGAATACATTAGTAGTAACAAATATAATATAATAAATACAGCAATTATCTTTAATGATAAAATGACTTGTCAACATGAAGGAGTGTTAATTCATATTACAAAATTAATAATAGAAAATCCTTCATCCTTTTCCACAATATTATCCAAGTGGGTAGCACAGCCTTCGTTGGACAACAATCGGCGATTGTTAGACACTAGACTAACCTAGATGTTGTCTTAGAGATTTACGCTTTATTATTGTAAAGGTCTTTTTGTTTCAATTGTTATTAACCATTCCCAAGATCCTGATCTAATTTACGGCTAAAAGCCTTAACTTAGATCTTAACAATTCTAACAGGTTATACCACAGTTCACAAAGATTGACTCCTTCAACTTTATGAGGTGCATATAATGTGAACATGTTCATACCAACCACTGGGGTTTGTGAGAGAAAATTAGGCATTAGATCGACCTCCGCAGATTTCTCGCGTCCCTTCTACGTAAATATATCGATGTAAAAATACTCGTTGATAATAAATATCACTTATACATATCTTATTTGTGAGGGTAAATTTCACCGAAAAAAAAAAATTATAATAGCTCGGTCGGTAATCGGGCGGCCGCTAACAAACAGCCACGAAACAGGGGGCCGTGGTTCGTATCACGATTTTTTACACACTTACTTTTTTTACTTTTTTTCAATTCCAGATCATTGCTTTCTTTATTTTTTAAATTTTTTGTCGATCCAGAGGATTTCGTTATTTTTTCCCGTTTTTTTCAAAGTTCTTTCTTTTGTGAAAAACACCAGTTCATATTTTGTTATTATTACATCGGTAAGATCGAAAAATATTATACATATTTCATTACTCAGTAATTTGTATCTAAATGTAATTTTCAAAATACACGATTTACCAAAAAAGAAACAAACCTCCAGGTCCTCCAGGTACTATCACTTATCAGATATATTGGCGTTGGAAAGGAAATTTTTCTTTCGCAGTTTTTCTTCATTTTACAAACTAATCGTGAGAAATATACCGCAAGGCTCTAACACCAAGAGAATACACGTAGACACAAGATCCTTACGGATGAAATGTTTTAGGTAACCATGAACCCGGAGATAGATTCTTACGGCTAAAATACAATTACGTACCTTACACTGACAAGCAAAACACTTTAATAACATAAAGCTAATTTCGAAACTTTATAAGACACCAAGGAAACGGACTAGATCTTAAATTCCATTCGTTAAAAATATTTTATCAAAACAATAGTAACTAAAAGATATTTTCATTAGACCATAAATCTTATGGCTTCAGCACATGAAAGGGAATTTCAGAAATATTTTCCAAGTTGTAATATAGAATATGATAAAAGTGATAGATTATAAACCGGAAGTACAAAATTTCCGTGAGAAAATTGTACCGTGATTAACGTCACAAAATCTTAAATCATTTTTCTTCAGTATTATAATCAAACCTTGAACAAATAGATAATATTAATGATTAGTTACGTCTACGTAAGATATATATAAAAGATGGAAAAAATTAAGCGATACGGAATATTATTTTTAAATGAATCAAACTTCTTAAAACAACATCATTAAAACGAACCACAGGATATATCTATTATTCTATTCTTGGGATATATCTATTATATTATTCTATTCTGTGTACGATACAATTATAATATTTAAAAATTCCTTCCCATCCTTTTGATTTAGAAAACTCGTCTGCTATGATTAATATATATAATCTCATAACTTAAGATCAATATACATGACTTTATGAGTGAATCAAAGTTATTTTTCTTTATGTTTCCAACCAACGAACGTTTTAATTAGATTTTCACAAACAAATTCGTTTATTAATTTCACATTATCCCAACTTCTTTTGACCACAAGCTTTGAGACTCACCTGTGACAGACTGAGTGACGCTCTTCCCGGCGGTGCGCTAACTTGGCTGGCGACCAATGACGCGAGTGCGTCTCTCTGGTTCCCCGACATTGCTCTGATAATGGGCAGCACTTGGGCGAACTTCCCCACGTGGTCTTTCCTCTCCAACGCCCTCAGAACCGCGTCCCTTATGACGTTCTCCTTGTAAACAGAGCTGTGTGGATTGTAAGTTTTGTACAGACTCTTCCTGGTCGTCGCCTCGAAGAAATCCCTCACATCTAAGGCTTCCAGCTCCTCCTCCAACGAGTCCAGGTCGTACTGCGGCCGGTGGGAGTTGATAACTCCATTAGGCTTGATTATCCGCACCGGCGGTGAGACGAATGTGCGATAATTCCTGGACTCCTGTGCAATCATGACCTCGTGAGGCTCCGCAGTCTCAAAATCGGCGTTTTCCACCCTTGTCGCCGTAGCCACCGCTAATATCAAAACAACTCTGGATAAGCAGGCCATTATTACCTTTTTTTCTAATTCAACTTTGACATTTCATAGTTTGATCAAGTCTGAATGAGCATGCTAAGATTAACACAGCACTTTAAAAACACTTATCATATTTAACTTAGAAATGATTACGGTAACTTAAGCGCTCGTTGAAGTCTTTTGTGCCGAGATGCGGCCGCGTCGCTTTCTGCCTCAGCGCCGAATGAACGCACGCGCGACTCTAGTTCACATACACTCTCGCGTATTTACAGGTGTCAGATTATGCCGGAACTCGCGACTTTCACTCATGTAGGGTCAAAAAGTCCCACACAAGAAGCCATTGATGGGCAATTTTTGATTCGTCATCGTGCTATCAATACATCAGAATTATCTTAGGCGAACAAAGGCTCGAATCTACAGCTCTTAAGGTCAATGAACTTTTTGTTACTGCAATGTGACATTTATGTTTATATGTATAAGGACTAATATAAAATATTCTTATATTCACAAAAGCGGTAATGTAATGCTTTCACACTTTCTGTTACGGCTATGTTATGTCATTGTTACGAAAATTTCAATGCAACATAACATATACTACAGCATACTTGTTTAATATAAAATTAAACCCTAACACCAAAGAAATGAGACTGCAATTTCCCTAAGCATTTATCACTATTCTTTCTTACCATAGATAAAACAGTAATGAGTGATCAAAATTAAGCTATGCGGTATTGATTTAGTAAAATTATAAACCTGAACAAACGGTGGATATTAAAAAAGTTTCATATCAATAATGACTCAACTCTATTATAGTTTATTTTCAATATGGATTGTTTTATCAATATTGAAAAAGAAACTGTTCGGTATTTTGTATGGAATTATTACTTTAAGATAAACATTAACTTTGATGCAGTGACTTTATAATAACTTATATGTGGATTCAATAAAGAAAGATCACTGTGATATTTATAAAACCGCTTCAAGTACCTCTATAGTTAAATAATATTTTCATATAAAACCAGAAGTTGCACCTTGATCTCGAGAAGACAATAAAACAGGATTACGTTAAATATGAACTTAAAAGCACAACCATTTTTAGCAATTTTCATAAAACGATAGACTTTCATATCAACTTTGACATATTCAATGGTTATAAAAATAAATAAGACAGCCTATCTGCTTTTTCTCCGACTAAAAACATACACTTCGATGCTCCATCATTATTTTATTTATTTATTTAAGCTTCATTGTTAAACCTTAAGCTAAAGGCTACAATGGGCGGACTTAATGCCTAGAGACTTAATGTATAGAGATTATTTCGAAGATACCTGAAGTCTGCAAATCCTAGCAAAGGCCTCCGAATAAGAAATATATATGTTACACATGCTGTTACTTTAGAACTTACAAAAGAGATTCATATAAAATATTACTTTTGTATAACGTTCGTACAGATAAATATGGAAAAGACCAGAAAAAGGAGGGTAATAAATAAACATCTTGTTTTATTTTAAGAATTATATTATTTAAGCGAAAATATTAATATACTTGATTTTTTTTATGTGAAAATTTGCCAAACGAGCTGATAGTTCACCTGATGGTAAGTGAATACCGCCGCCCATGAACATCTGCTACACCCCAGGGTTTGCAGATGCGTTGACAACCTTTTTGGAAATTGGGCTCCGGCTACCTCAGTCACCAGACGAAACGCGAAAGTATATCTCATACTTCCACTTTACGCCGGTCTTCTGTGAGGTCGTGGTACTTACCCGGACGAGCCTGCCCATTCGTGCAACAGCCGAGGCTGCTGCTTGGCTCTACCACTTGATCATAACATTTTCACTAAACTTGGAAAAAAGTTACAGCAACCCTCTTCGGTTAGTTAAAATGTAGTATTGGAAAACAGGTTGTTTTAAAATCCCCGTAGGCAATAAGCACTATAAAACTATTTCTAACTTTTAATATTTATCTTAAAATCACCTTTCTTCGCGGCTTAGCGTGGCATTATTACTTAAGTTATTATAAACGAGGAACCGCATAGATGAATAATCTCTCATTATTATTACGAAAGTTATAACACCATTTGTGATTTTAGCAAAAACAAAAATTATAAAACTTTTTTTTTATTTTTAAATCGAAGTTAAATAATAGAATAGGTTTTACAGAACTTGAATTTCTTTTAGAAAAAACTTTGTGAATAACATAGTTAAACGATCTTCATTATGCAACTAATTTTTATTTCCACTAATGATATTTTTAATCTTAAGTGCTGCCTTAACACGTGCCAATTCGCAGTGGAGTCGCATATTGGATAATGTTGTAATAGTCTCTGTGTAAGTACATTCCCGAACGTTGGAAATTTAAAAGTCCTTGAAATATTTAAATTGTAAATTTTATTGCAGATAAGTGAACAAAAACTTTCGGCGCTTAGGGGTTCAACCCTGCGTGCGTCTTCTGGTTTCGCGCCCAGATCTCCAAAAATCTCTACAACTATCTACGTTCTTTCTATTGCATTTTTAACAATACTTGGCACCATCTAGTGTCCATATTTTAAAACGTACAAAGTTTTACAAATGACATTCAACGATTAATATTTGTAACGAGAGATGTCGCCATTGCTCTTAAAATTTTTAAGATTAATTGAAACACATACTTAAGACGTTACTTTAGTTTTTTCGTTTTAACTTGTAAATTTAATTTGTTTACTACAAATAAGTAGCACTGCCTTAGCAATATTACATTTTATATCAATAAAATCGATATGCCTCATTTTCTAAACTAAAAAAAAGCATAATTAAATAATTAGGTATAATAAACCAAATATAATTTCACAGATTTTGAACGAGGATAAATTTCAGGACCTCAATGATTATGGAGTTCATCTCTAGAGTTCTACGTATGAGTATCCTAAAATAGGCGGCGTTTCAAATCAATTCTCGACTACCATTAAGTTAAATTTTGCTCAGTTCACATCCGTTTTAAACGACTTACAATTAAATTTTTTTACTAACGTAAAACAAATTCGAAATCCGAATTCAAATATCTCGCTCTGTATTCATTTTATTATTGATTTTCAGCAGTTCCCTACGTATCTCCGGAGCCCAAGATGCAATACCGATGAAATTAATCATAAATAAAGAATCACCAAAATCGATTCACTCAGTCGAAAATTCTGAGATGACAAACATAAAAAATGCAGTCGAATTGAGAACGTCCTCCTTTTTTGAAGACGGTTGAAAATGTGAATAACTTTCTGACTGTAGCTTTCACGCAGCACCTTCTGCGGTTACACGTATGGGCTCCTCCTGCAGTGGTCGCTCTCCCACTGTCAGAACTCCAGCAGTGATAAAATCTGTGATTTTACGGATCCAAAAAAATCCAATGCGTAAGATGGAGATAAAAGTAAATAAATCTAAAATTGTAAATGTAAATAAATCTATTTACTTATATGTGGAAGGAGAAGCAAAAATTATTTGATTCATCTTTGATCATGTTCATTCATCATCTAGTTACGTCATCACGCATTTTAGAGTCGTTGCCAAACAATAGTTTATTGAAAGAAAGTAGCAAGTCATATATTTTCACAATCGTTGTAACTGTTTCTGCACTACAATTTACATTTTTTGGATTGAAAAACATTAAAATTCTATAAATATATTTTTTTATGTGACAAAGTGGTAAACGAGCTGGAGGTTCACCTGATGTTAAGTGATAACTGCCGCCCATGGACATTTGCCCTAACCAGGCGAAATGCAGAAGCTTCACACTTCAACTTTAACCTCGATGGCCCATAGCAACCTTGATGGCCCGCAGGCGACATGTCACAATTAACGCCTGGCATGAGTACATGCGCGGCCCTACCCACTGAGGAGGGCCTCAAATCCGTGGGTTCGGGCTAGCCAACCGGTTCTGCGTTCGATGAAGCTTTAATAGTCTAAGGACTGAAAGTGTAAGATCAGTTACAAAATACTTCAACTTCACGCCTCACGCATGGTGAGGTCGTCGTACTTCCCCAGACAGACTTGCTCATTCGTGCAACATCGAATTGTTCCGTGGCCCTACCACAGTTAACTTTTTTTATTTAAAGATGTTTTTTTTTACAATTTAAGGTTAAATAAAAAAATACAGTGTTATTTTATATATAAGAAGTGTTACACTTCTACTTCACGCTAGTCTTTTGTAAGGTTGTGGTACTAACCCAGACGGACCTGCCCAAAAACGAACACTGTTGCGTGGTCCTACCACAGTACAACTTCAGTACGTGATTCGATAATATATTTTTTTCAAAGAACCACATTTTTTGTCAACTGTATTGTTTGGTAATAAATGGTAATGTATCCAACACTAAGGGGCTTCACGAATGTAACTAAAAATGCTTTTGTCTTAAAAATGAAACAAACAAAAACTGAACCCACTACTAGTCAAAAATGTACAGTGCTTTATGGGTGGACAATTTCTCGGAAACGGGCGTTATAAAAAAATATAATATATCAAAAATATCAAAAGCGATGCTCAAATGATACACAGGTGGTAAGTTTACAAATTTCTTATATTCATAATAAAATATTTTTTCAATCTTACGCAATAGATCAGATTTTGTAACAATCCAATAGAATCATAGATTTTTGAGACTAGAAAGTAATGTTAAACTGAGATTTGAAATTTTTTAAGATAAAAAAACGTGCAAAGTGTAACACACATAAACTACCCAATATTTACGTTAACAAAATTGATATAACACAGTTATAGCTTTAGCACCATTGCTATCCAACATTTTACTATATATTTGATTCGAAGCAACAAAGTTTAACAATTTTTATATTTCATTTAAGAAAATACTATATCTGTTCCAAAGAGACATAAGTAACTTTTATTATAAGTGATATGATAATATTTTATTTGTGGATTCAATAGGGAAATAAACACTGCAATATAAAACTAACTCTGTACAAAAACATCAATATACTCTTACAAGATCATATATGTATCACGTATTATTACTTATACAAGAACACATTTTATTTACAGACCTATCGTGTACTCGGTGACACTCATTGCAAACGAATACTGTTATAAATTAACAATTATTTACAAATTATCGATACAAATCTTAACTTAGAATTTTTCTACCATCGGAAATCGAAACTTAAAGCGAATTGTCATGATCCCACACTTAACGACAAATTACAAAGTCTAGAATATGTTTAAACAGACAGAAACATTCGCGATCACTGATAAAATAAATGACATTCATTACAATTTTTCATTACAATTACAAACGAAGATAGTCGAATATAAAAATTCTAGTCTTTCATTTTCAATTCTCATAATTTGAGAACATGTGCAGACCCAAGTTGAGACCCTGAGAAACCCTCACTCTTCTAAACTAAATTATAAATTTTACACATGACGTTACATCAATGTTCATATGTCGCATTCAAATTCGGACACCCTCTTATTGCGGCCGTCGGGGTTTGTTTGAAAATGACTCTCCCTCGTGCCGACGCGCGGGAAGCCGTTAAAACTGTTCCTACTGACAAGTGGGTTCTCGCGTTCCCTCTCTTTGTGGAAGCTGGACGTCGATAGCTTCCCGTCTTTGCGCTCTGAGAAATTCGGATCGTTGAAGTTCTGGTCAGTGAAACCCTTCTCCTGGTCGAAGCTGCGCTCGTTGAAAGACACGTCTCGGATCCCGAAGCCGCCCATCCTCGGTGTGCCGATGCCGAATTTGTTCCTCAACTCCTCGTCACGGAGGTTGAACGCTCGGTTGTCGAACTTCGCGGGGCCGGTCGCCAATCTGTAAAGCGTACGTTGGACACGTTTATTTCTGTACAAGCTGTTACCTGTGTTATCCCCAGCGGAGACTTAAAACTTGAACCAAAACTAGAGAGCGATCACAGAGCCACTTTGGGCTTTTTACATATTACATGACTAGGACTTATGCTCCGAGAAAGTATTCCGACCATAAAAAAAACTCATCATGTATCTGAAAAGTTAACAAGGCCCATTATATTTAAGTTTTGCAACACAACCGGAACCTCACGAAAGTCGTGGTTGTCCATAGGCACCGCCTATACACTTTCCATCGGGTGATCGCTCTGCTAGTTTAACACCTTCTCTCCCCAAAAACTTTTTCTTTTTCTCTTAACAATATGAATAAGGACATCAACGCCCAGAGGGCGCCCTAATTATCGAGACCTGCATGAGCTACAATTTAAGAGCTGGCATGAAATTGTGCAAAACCGAGACCACTGAAAGTTTCTTATATCGAAGCTAAAACACACTTTAGATCATTGAACTAATAAAGTAAGCAATTATTACGTTTAGTCATGATCGAATTGACAAAGGCAGATAAGAATACATGCTTAGTTCAAATACTCGTAATGTATCTAATGAAGCGAGGCAATGTTAATCGATCGGAAATTAACATTTATGCCCAATCAAACTGTACAAAACCCGAGTTAAGGTCGTTTAGGAAACAATGCTTACTCTCTGAAACACCGCCTTTCCCTATCGTACTCGGCGGAGAGGCCGTCCTCGTCGTTGATTATCGCGGAGGGGTCGCTGTACACGGAGGACTCCTGATAGAACGAGTCCAGGTCGACGTAGTTGCCCTCCGAGGGTTCGTTGTCCAGCAGCTCCGCCAGCTGCGCCTTCAGCGAGGCGAACGTCGGCCGCTGCGAGGGGTCCGCGTGCCAGCAGGAGTGCATCGCGCGGTACAGCTGCGGCTTGCAGTGCGGCGGCCTCTCCAGCCGGTAGCCCTCGGTGACCGCCGCCAGCACCTCCCGCCCCGACATCGCCGCGTAGGGCGTTGACCCTGGAAAGACACCAAGTGACCGTGACTATGGCTCGTTCACACTATTCCGATTAGATGGGGACAAAATGTCACTTAAAGTGCTGTCATTGGCAGCGGTGTTTTTGCCGTGTTATACTTATTCGTGCTCATAGATTGAAGATATTTCTAAAAAATCGCAAAATCGTTTTCATAACCTGCATTAGAAAATACAATGGTTTATTATATCACTTATTCCTAAGAATTTAAGTGTAAAAAATGGGTACACCTTTACATTAACGAATTACTAAGGCAATTTTTATATAACTTTCGGTTAATAATAAGCATTAAGAGTAACTGATATCTATGACAATCAACGTTTAAACGATCACCAATTGTTTCAATCAGCCTAGCCGATGTTCTATGACTATACCTAGAGTGACGATCTCCCACAGCAGTATCCCGAAGGCCCAGACGTCCGTCTGGTGGTTATAGAGGTTGTACAGCAGAGCCTCGGGTGCCATCCAGCGCACAGGCAAAGCGCCACGCGCCGCTCGCGCGCCGCCACCGGCACTCCTCGACATTCCGAAGTCAGCTATCTTGCACAGCTTGTTGTGGTCCACAAGCACGTTTCGAGCAGCCAGGTCGCGGTGCACGATCTGAAGAAGAATCATATTGGTTCACAATTGTTTTCCTTTCTTATCTTTATAATAATACTAGCTGCTATAGAATCGGCTGAAGGCGTAACATTCAGACATAAAAATATGTAAATTATAGCCTATGTCTTGTACATCACAAGCAATATTATTGTAAAGTTTCATTAAAATCCATTCAGTAGTATATGCATGAAAGAGTAACAAACATCTATCCATACATACAAACTTTCTCCTTTACAATATTAGTAAGGATTAAAAAATATTACAGGACACAAGTTTATACAACGTTTTGTAGTCCCAAACTAAGCAACGCTGGTACTATGGTTACTAAATAATTGATTAACATACTTAAACATACTTTAGTAAATAAAAGGCATACTTTAGTAAAAATGGTAAAATGATTATCACATAATACTTTTCCAGTAATGGGGATCAAACCTAGACCCTCTGATGCAAGAGGTAGGGTTACTAATTATTAGGCCAATCGGGTGGTCAATGGAATTTATGGAGTTAACCTTCGGATGTTACACCTCTGAACAGTCTCTATCAGATATGAACGATATCGGTTGTTTATAATAAACACTGTGTATACATACGTCTGCTTTTCGACCATATGAAACTTCGGCGTAATCAGGGCAATAGTGCAATAGAGATAAAAAAATAACTGGAACTATATTCTATTTGGAAATAAAGCTTGCATCAGAACAGGCTCTTTACACGCTTCATCACTTGATGAAGCAAAAAAATTGTCCCATAATTTCAATTGCAACTGTTTGAACAGTTAATAGTTCAGCTGGTGCGACGATGTGCTTTTACTTAAATACCAATACACTTATTCGAGCAACCACGTATAATCGCCCGTTCAAGCACAGTATGCACCCCTTTAGAAGCGATGTAATCCATGCCACGCGCTACACAGTAAGCGAAAACTGTGAGGTCTCTGGACGCCAAAGTGCCGCCGCCCCCAAAACGGTCGGGCCTTGACCGTCGCGCACGAAGGTAGGTCAGCAATTAACCACACATCACATACTCCATTGTACATCACAGTACGCACCCCTTTAGAAGCGATGTAATCCATGCCACGCGCTACACAGTAAGCGAAAACTGTGAGGTCTCTGGACGCCAAAGTGCCGCCGCCCCCAAAACGGTCGGGCCTTGACCGTCGCGCACGAAGGTAGGTCAGCAATTAACCACACATCACATACTCCATTGTACATCACAGTACGCACCCCTTTAGAAGCGATGTAATCCATGCCACGCGCTACACAGTAAGCGAAAACTGTGAGGTCTCTGGACGCCAAAGTGCCGCCGCCCCCCAAAACGGTCGGGCCTTGACCGTCGCGCACGAAGGTAGGTCAGCAATTAACCACACATCACATACTCCATTGTACATCACAGTACGCACCCCTTTAGAAGCGATGTAATCCATGCCACGCGCTACACAGTAAGCGAAAACTGTGAGGTCTCTGGACGCCAAAGTGCCGCCGCCCCCAAAACGGTCGGGCCTTGACCGTCGCGCACGAAGGTAGGTCAGCAATTTACCACACATCACATACTCCATTATCAAAAGATAGGGTTCTGGAACAAATTGGAAATGATTAAAATAATAAAATTAATTCCAACAAATCAAACGCAAGCTTATTAACACGACCCTCACAAATAACTCGACTCCTAAAAATGAATCAAAATAAATGGAAACTAAATACAACACTTTTAATGAATTGTCTGCACCTTCAAAGATACATTTATGGAAATATCTAACTTTACTTGTAATTTATTTGTTTCCTTCTGAGCCATCAATATTTTGAATTGTTTGTCATCAATATTTTGAGTTGCTAAAATTCTTTTGTTCCTAGTTCGGCATTTGAATGACAAAACCATGGTAAAATTTCTTAATTTTCTATAATAAACAAAAATGCAATTAAGTTGTGCAAGATTATGATCAAATTATTATTTTCTTAAATATTAAAACAAATTTGTACACGTCTACAAAAAGGGTACAAAAACTAATAAAATAAAAAACACTCACCTTGTTCGGTACAACATGCGAGCAGTGTCACCACATTCGGGTGAGTTCCTATCTTTTGCATGATGAATATCTCATGCAACAACTCCTGCTTCTCTTTCTGGGTTGCGGATTCCTTTATCGTCTTCACTGCGACCAATCGCGTTAACCCATCGTGCCCGTTCAAGTCGTCAGCTTCAGCTTTCCACACCTAACGTTTTAAGGGATAAAATTTTACAAAATTTATGTTACGACAGAAGGTTCAGAAGAATGCGTAGAAACTATTCGAAAAATCTACACATCAACATTATTTTATTGGTTTGGTTATTCCCTGATGTTCAGTGATTACTGACATAATATCCGTTAGGGTTCAGCTGCATTTTTAGGGGTTTTTAACACAATACAAACTTTTAAGAATTTTAATCCTTAAAAAAAATTACCCTAGCTATTACGCACAACACAGGAAAAAGTGAGTGAAAAATATTATTACTAAATAACTCACCTGTCCAAAATTTCCCTCACCCAGTAAAGTTTGTAATCGGAGCTTGTTTCTCGGGAATTCCCACTTTTGGTCCGGTTTGCTTGGAGGTGGAAGAGGTGGCCGAGCAACTGGTGTAATAGGTGACTCTTTCTTAATCTCACCGTCATCGAAGTAGCCTTCGTACTCTGTGTCAATTTCTTTCGTCTTTTTATTTAAAAAATTACGCAAGAAAAAAGCTATGACTGCTGCCACAGGAACAAATCCAAGGCCAGCTAAAACATACGACGCCGTGTAAGTCTTTTCAGCTTCTATCACCACTTCTTCATTTCGAGAGTCGTTTTCAATACCATTACGTTTCGTTTCATTTTTCGATATACTCGTGTTTTCTCCGATTTTTGTTCTATTATTTAAAACCACTGGTGTAGTAGCTTTAAAACTTGATGATATCTCTGACGTGATAACTAATGGTTTTATCGTGGTACCCGCTTCTTGCAGTGTTGTCGTAGCGGGTGATGAAGTTGTAATTGGCGACGAAGTTGTGGTCGTAGTCTCATTTTCAATTATGGTCCCAGGTGGTGTCCCCGTCGTGGTCGTGGTCGTGGTCGTTGTCGTCGTAGGCCTTCGCCGTTTTAAAACATTTTTTGATTTTATCGTACTCAGGTAACTCGAACTATCGTAATCATTTTGACGGGGTGAATTGGAAAAGGTCTCAGGTAATTTAGGGGTTGTTATTTCTTGTGCATTAGTTGCTTTTGTGGTATTTTCACTAGACATTGAGTTCGGATTTTGTGTTGCGCTATTGAATACCGATATGGGGTTTTCTTTTAATGTACTTTCCGTCGTCGTTGTTCTTATTCTAATTCTATGTTTGATTGGTCTAACTGTCGTAGGTGGAACAGTTAAGGTTATATTGTCACTAGCTAAAACGGTGTCTTGAATCGTAAAATTGTTTTTCTCAATTGTAACATCTACAATAGTATCATTGCGTAATTCTTTTAGATCCTCCGTTTTATTTTGACCTTTCATTGAAGATGTTATTGAAACAGAAGTTACTACTGCAGTATAAACAGAAGTAGACGACTTTTCTGTTGTTGCATTAATTGGAGTTGTGGATGCTTCCGTACTTGATGCAGTTACTTTAGTAGGACGCCTTCGTAAATTAAAATAGCTTCTTGTAAAGTTTCTTGGGGTGGCAGCCGTAGTTGTTCTGTTATTGTTTAACTCTCCAGTATTATTAGCATTAATTTTTAGACCTTCTTTGTCCGCATCTTCATAAGGACTTGTCTTATTTTCAACAGAACTAGGTGTAACATTTATGAAAAATGATTCGGTTACATTCATTTCCATTAAATCCGGTGATTTCAGTGTTGTTTGAGTTGTACTAGAGAATTTTCTATACGCGTTAACTAAGCCAACGGAACGGGCTGGAGCGGGACCCTTCACAGTATTCCTTATTTTATTTTTCTCAATGACATTTTTAACAACTGAAACATCCATATCTTCATTAATTTCATCTTCGCCTGCATCAATATTCTTATATTTTTCAGTAGCCGAATATCTTGAATTAAACTTGCGTTTATCTGGAGGTGCTGCTATAAAATTAACAGATTTAGTAGACGCTGATAGAGCTGGAGAATTCGTGAGATTATCACTGATAATTGGACCGCCCAATTTTTGCCCAAAGTATATAAATGGGGCCATTTCTTCATCTGGTAATTCTGATTCAAATGGGCGAAAATGGTTTAATATCTTATCCGATATAAATAACGTTTGGTTACCTTTATCAATACTATTTTTTATATTACTATGGCTTAGTATGTCAGTGCTATTTGCTATTGCATTCGTTTCTGGCTTTTTATTTTTAATCAATTCCTGCGGAAGAAGTGTTGTATCGCGTGTTTGTAAATTTGTCGTAAGTGTTATAGTATCTAATAAAGGCGTAATGCCATTCTTTTGTGTTTCATCATTAAATGAGTTAATGGCATTAGGTGGACTCTTTGTCACATTGTCTGTATCGGAATAATTGAGAAGGTACAGACCATGGTTTGATTCGTCTACCTGGAACTCTTCATCCGGATCTAAATCGATATCTTTTTCTGTACCTTCTAACTTATCAGGTGGGACATACACAATACCACTTTCTGTTGTTGATATAGCAATAATAACAGTTCTGTTAAAATTCAATAGATCTTTTCTCCTATTATTGATGAATCCCGCCCGATTTTTATTATCTTGATATATTCTAGGAATAAATAAATGTCTGATTTCGTGTGGTTTCACATCCTGTCGAATTTCCCGTGCACCGTCCGTTGCTACCAATCTTAGTGAAGGAGCAATTTCATTGCTTGAATTTTCAAATGTAATCCGTTTTACCACTGAGTTGTTTGGATCGCGAATTTCCAACTGCGCAAAAGTTGTATTGCCCCTGAAAGACGAAATAAGTTAATGAGTCTGCGAATAAATTAATTAATTATGAACAATTAACCAATCAAAAAAAAAAACATCTTATGCATGTACCCTATGTATAAGACTTATGCATGTATCCATGGTTGCTTTACGCATTTGCTAAATAAATAAAAAAATAATAGTTTAATGAAAACTAAATTAAGTTAAACGATTTTATTGAAAATAAAGATTAAAATGATGTAGACAATGTACTATAAGCTAAAAAATAATTCGGTAGGTCCTAGATACTAGTCATCACACCACTCTCCTCATCAATTTAGAGCATTGATCAGACAAAAAAAATAATTGGGTGCGTGTAACTTCGGTAAATATATAAATGGCGTTTAGATTTAGCGGTCAACAAAAAAGTAGAAAGTAAATAATAGTTTAAAAAAAATAACACGCTTTTTTAGATAACCGAAATAAAAAGTAGAAAGTTAAATTATCACAAAAAAAACATTTTATTGCAGAAAAGCGCGGGGTACTTTGAGTCAGTCTAATAGTAAAAGTAATATTTTAATGACAGTATATACAGTATACTGGTAAAAATTGTCATAATGGAAATATCATAAGAAGCACGCTTTTCTGCAATAGTTTTTTTAATCACACGATCCATTTAAATTTATTGAAAATTATTTTCTACTTTTTAGTTCGATTATAGGTTTCTTTATACATTTTTTTTCAATTTTTTAGTAATGCTACGTATAAAAGCGTGTTGTTTTTTAGATAAAAGCGTACTTGGCACAAGGACACAAGGGGATATTGGATTTGGAAAATAGCTAATTCTGAATGTCCCGATTGTGGAAATAGTGGGAAAAACTATTTAAATTCTTGCATTGTCATAGGTCTTTGACGAGTTTGCAGTTTGATACAAATCTGATCGTTCTAATTGGGGCGAAATCACGTTTAAAAATACCGTTACATTCATACATACATAAAAGTAAAACTAATATAAACGTGTAAAAAGCCCACCCTACCGTTAAAAACCTTAAACAAAACTTATTCTAGAAATAAACGCCCGCATCGTCCGCCGGTTTCTTTCCCTTTCACCCTAACCCTCGGCCGTTTGGCTGGTTGGATCCTATCCGTCTGGTTGCGTCCTATTTATATATGTATTATATACAATATTTATATCTATATATTAAAATATTTCATAATCTTTTACTTACTTGTGTGGTTTGTTTGCTAGCGATGCTAGGGTATTGACGTGTGTAGTTAACCTTCCACCCAACAACTGCCGCCGTCTAGCAGCAAGCAGTGACAGCAGTTGCGAATCTCTCGTGGTATTTGCGGTGCTTTGAGTGGTCGTTTTTCTTATGCTGCCTGTAACAGATGACAGGAAAATTTGTATATGGATGTTACGTTGTTTCATTGAGAAAAAAAGTTCTTTTCTGCGCTAAAGATGGAAGTATTTGTAATTATAACAGTCTTGTGCTAGTCATACATACCACAATGTCAAGTTATCGCTAGGGCTACAAAAGCATTTCCGACCTGTGTATATTCCTAGAAATGAAGCGGTCGACAGCTTATTGCACTTACTTTGTTTCAATTTATCTTTTCCTCCTACACCTCATTGTTTTTAAATTGTAAAAACAAAAGTAGGTAAATGAGATATGACTAAAGATGTCATTATGAAGTTAAATCAATCACGCACTAGGGCTGAGCCACCGAAGCGGTCGAGTCCGGCATCCATTAGCGACAGATTGCATGACAATAGAAATAATTGTACACAATCAAGATTTGTCGGGCCGTCCATCCATCCTTCACCCAAAAACTGAGCTACCGAACAGACAATAGATTTGAAGCACGATACCATTCCTATGGCAGTACTCGACCTTGACACGCAATATTGTGCAAGTTTAGATGCTACCAACGCTATATTACCTCTTCTAGCGACTTGTTGTTTAATGTTTTTGTTCATTTTATGTCAGTGATAGCTTATTTATTTATTTTGTGATTTATTGCTTAGCTTAAGAAAACTGTCAGACGGTCCTTATGACAAAAGACGGTCCTTATGCCTTAATGTATCAGTAAAACAAACAAAGGGAGAAAAAAACCGGTCGAGTGCGAGTCGAACTCGCACACGAAGGGTTCCTTGTCTATAAAACGGCAAAAACATATCTGTTGTATGGGAGCCCCACTTAAATATTTTATTTACCCTATTTTTTGTCCATCTTTCACGGTTCATGAGATAGTACCTGGTGACAGCCTCGTGACTGGCACGGAGAGTCCTAGTAATGGGGTCCCGTTTTAACCTTTGGATACCGGAAAAAAAAAGTTTCAATATTAATGTGGGCAGACACATTACCCTTTCGGTACGGTACCTTAAAAAGGATAAAAAACAGAAAATGTAACAATTTTTATTTAGTTATTTATGTATCAAGCGAAGATGTTCTTTAGACGGGTTGGTATTCGATTTAAGCTTTAACCCCGTTTAGTTAACGAGATGCTAGCGCGAATCATTTTTGTCGAGCTAAGCTCCATAGCAAGGTAAAATCTTTCCGTTCAGGTACGAACTTCTCGCTGAACATTGCCCATTCTTTTTACTCTCTGATGCATCTTACGTAATACTAATGCGTTAACCGGTCACCGTTGCCAGCAACTGGCCGATGATTGTAAGAGCTTGCGTTTTCACCGCATACCTTTAACGTAACTTTTTGCACAAATAATTTTCTCGTCTCCAGTCAATGAACGTAATTGTTATGAGGCGGTAGTACAATATGTGCATCATGTAAAAATAAAATAACCGTGTCCTGTTTACCAGCGGGATCAGTGGCTCTTTCTTTTTAACCATCGGGTTTTTGTGGATTTGTAGATGAGTATATGTGAGAAAGTGGCAAACTAGCTGGCGGTTCACCTGATGCTAAGTGATAACCGCCTGCCCATGGGCATTTGCAACACCCGTAGGGTTGCAAATGCGTTGACACCTCTCAATAAAGTGGGCCCCGGCTACCTCACTCACCACACGAGAAGTGTAGTGCAACACTTCCACTTTACGCCGGTCTTCTGTGAGGTCGTGGTAATAACCCGGGCGGACCTGCCCATTCGTGCAACAGCTAAAACTGTTATGTGACCCTACCACTTTTAGACTTAAGACTTATTTTCACTTACATCACAATGAGAAACTGTACATTTTCAATTTTCACGATGAGTAGAGAGGTGAATAGAGAGGTATTTATATTTATATTATATACGTATTTCTAAAATTAGTAAAAGTTTGGTCTTGCATAATCTTGCAATAATATAGAAAATCCTATAATTTAGACATCATACATAAATTGAATTTATATGTATGTATGTATGTTATATAACTCGATTGCTTGTATTTTATTAAATGACCATAATCATCAGTAAACGAAATCAACAACCAATCAACCGTCATTGTACCTAAATTCTGACTACATTAACGGATTATATAAATGAAATGACAAACAAGAGGAATTCTTCCCTATTCTCTTCAAACTTACTGTCCTTCTTTGTTGCTAAAGCTCTTTTGTTTATCGGCCGTGTAGCAGCGAATTATTGTTGCAGTTAGCAATGATCTAAAACCAATATAACACAATCGCTTAGAGAACGCAAGCGATTGTAACATTAGTCGAGTTCAGTGACCCATCTGTCCCACGTTCACTTTTCCGTGCTTTGGACAAATTCCTCTCTTTATTGGGATACTTCTGAACGTTGATACACTGCTAATGGATTATTATATGCGATCTTGTTATGAAACGTGATACATATCGTAACTTGTGCGTTTTTGTATTCTTCATGTTTCATGTATAACGAAGAATATTAAACGCTCATTCTTATTATGATTTTGTATTGTAGTTTTTGTGGCAAAAAATGCTGATAATAATTGGAGCCTTTCTAGTCACCATGCTAAAAAGTCGATATCCTCAACACGCGAAAATCTCGAGATCCTATCTCCATTTTATTGTATTCTAACAGTGCTTACCGCCATTGTGATGATAAACGTAGAGTTGTGAATAATTTTCAGTGCCAAATATTGACATTGTACCCTGTTGGTCGAAAAATACGAAGGTTCGCGGAAGCCGTTTAATTCGGCAAATAGCACAAATTACCGTAGCAATTGCATAGAGCCGCGGCAACTAAATGTCGGGAGTTTGCATTGTAATCAAGCGAACCTATCTTAAACCCTTGTACAAGCAATAAGGAAGGTAACAAAAGTTACCTGGCTTATTGGGTGTGCGTTTTAAATACAATCATCGTGGAAAAATCAGTAATAATGAACTTTTATTTCATTACAGTATATAGTATTCCAAATGATTGATGTAAAAGTTGATTTAATAATTTTCCATGTTATGAGATACTAATGCACCAAACTAAGCTAAAGGCTACGGTGGTAGGGAGACGCAGCAGCCTCGGCTGTTGCACTAATGGGCAGGCCCGTCCAAGGGTAAGTACCACGACCTCACAGAAGACCGGCGTAAAGTGGAAGTATGAGAAATACTTTCGCGTTTTGTCTGGTGAGTGAGGTAGCCAGAGCCCAATTTTCAAAAGGTTGTCAACGCATCTGTAACCCTCGGGTGTGTACCACTGTTGTGTGTACCCCCTAGTGTCCACTGTTTCACGAATGGGCAGATCCGTCCGGGTAAGTACCACGACCTCACCGATGATAGGCGTAAAGTAGAGAAGTGTTACACTTCTGCGTTTCGTCTGGTGAATGAGGCAGCCAGGGCCCACTTTAGTTGAAGGTGGCAACGCATCTGCATCCTAAGGGTGTTGCAAGTGTTCATGGGTGACGGTTGTCACAACATCAGATCAACCGCCAGCTCGTTTGCCCACTTCGTACATAAAAAATGAGAACATAAAGAGTACACTTAAAAATGAACATATTTGAATATAAATTAAAACTCACATTTAACTTTAAATCACTGAAATACGTGATTGTGTTCACGTGTATGTATTCACATGGGTGTGTGTGTTTATCCTTGTTATTTTACGATTATTAGCCTAAACTATAACCGTTCAGTCATTTTCTTTTTACATGCATTAGGTAAATTTATCGTAAAAGAACAATATTTTAACTTTATTTAAATATAATTATGTCCAACATGAAATAAGGTATGTCTAGCGTAGGCATTTGCTTAACCTAGATACATGCCTCAAACCTACATTGGTTGTTTCTACACACAAATGGAATGGTTATCGGTCTCTGCTATAATCAACACCGCTTAATTAACTTTTTATTAAGCAATTCAATTAATAATTATCTGAAACAGCTATGTCACGGACAATTATTGTTCGTAAATTGATAGAAATCTGTAATTAGCGCTTGCAGACTGAAACAAAATAAAAATACAACGTATAAGATGTAACAGTTAATCTTTTTCTGAAATGGGAAAGGAACCAAGTACGAGCCTCGCACACGAAGGGTCACATACCATTATCCTATCAGAGTCTTAGTAATGGGTTCTGTTTTACCCTTAAGGTACGGAACCCTAAGAAAAGGGAAAAATAATCCAAGAACTTTTTAACAGAATAATACATGATCAGCATTATTTAAAAGTAAAGTAAAGTAACAGCCTATAAAAGTCTCACTGCTGGAAAAGGCCTCCGTTGCACAGACGGTATAAGGGCATAGTCCAAGACGAAACCCCAAACGAAATATGTTTTTTTGTTCTTTATTCTTTATTGTACACAGAGTATCAAAGAAAACAAAATTACAAAAAACAAATAATGTACAAAGGCGAGCTTAACCCTAAAAAGAGTTTTCTTCCACCAAACCCTGATAATTATGATAGGTAGGTGTGTAAAACGAGATATTTGTACTTATTTGAATATATGTAACTTTCCTTACGATGTTTTCCTTCACCACTGAGCACGTAATAAATACTATATTTTTTGACAACTACTTTTCCTGGCATTGGTATTTCAACTCAGGTTGCTTGAATATATTGAATTATAAGCGAGCGCCCGGACAATGAGCTATCACGGCTCTTTATGAACGTTCATATCTTTTTCATATATATATATATATATAAAACTTCAATTCTTCTCGTCAATTTTGATCTGACAGGAAATATTCACTTATACAGGGAGTGAGACTCAACCCTTTGGCTCATCAACGTGCTCATATTTCTTCGTCAATACTCCCCCCAACAAACGTCTAGACAAACAAAACTCTTGCCCTTTATTAAAAAGTCCCGTCTGAATGCAGTACCCTATTGTTTGAAGGCTATGCATATATAAAAGAACATCGTAATCTTTTTTGTATATACAGAAGATGTCTAAGGATCGATTATCTTATTCTTACTAATCCTTACTAATGTTATAAACGCAGAAAGTTTTTATGCATGGATGGATGTTTTTTACTCTTTCACGAAAATTCTACTGATTGGATTCTAATGAAACTTTACAATAATATACCTATATCGTAATAAGACATAGGTTATAATTTATATACATATTTTATGTATATCTGTCTTTGTTAACTCTGTCTGAATGTTACACCTTCAGCCTATTCTACGCAGACGTAGTCGCGGGCAGCAGCTAGTATTTTAAACACGAAAGTTTGTATGTATGGATGGATGCTTATACATCAGAATAACAAATAGGCTATTATTTATAAAGATATTGTGTGAATTTTCCAAAATATGAGTAATGATAAGTGTCAACAAGTAGGAAAAAAATCCGCCATCTGCGAGATATTCTGGTGTAAAATAAAAACTCATTGTTAATTTCCTTTGGCGTGCGAGCGAAGCCGCGGTTAACAGCAAGTATCTTATTCCTTGATATGAACATATTATAATGTTATTAAATAAAAGAAATTGTTATTACCACTACACCTTTATATTACTTTTACTATTAGTTATACTAATACATAGAAATACTAAAGAAGGAATATTAAACACAAGAAGAAAACAATCCGTTAAAGTGATATTAACAGTTACTTATAACACATAT